GGAGCCCAGCAGGTCGAGGCTGCGGTGGCCGGGAACAGCCACTGCACTCCAATCTGGGTGACAGAGTGAGACTCCAACTCAAAAAAAAAAAGTAAAAATTAAAAATAAAAAGTCTGTTTCGAGACCTGGTGCAGACAGTGGCTCATGCCCCTAATCCCAACTCTGGTCTTAAAACTCCTGGGCTCAAGTGATCCTCTCGCCTCAGCCTCCGGAATCAGTGGGATGATAGGCTATTTCTTGATTTAATAGACTTTATTTTTACTCTGGCAAAGGATTCCATCTGCTTCCACAAAGGCTTCTAGCACCTGAAGCCCACTGCCTTCCCTAAACGGTGTTTCAAATTATGTATGCAATAGAAGATATCGCTCTGGAAGGTTATGTTTTGAAATGTAATATAAACAATACATATTCATGGTGCCTGAGGAGTAATAATTTTTTCTCTAAAAAGTGTTGTGATAAGATATAGTATAAGAGGATGTACTTGCCATCTGGGGCTCTTCATCCAATCTAGCTGGGTGCTAGGACATATTTACATGAAAAAATAACTACCTGCTGGAAAGGATATTGTAAATGCCGAATAAGTACTAGAAACAAGCAATCCCTCAACAAGTTCAGGAGGAAAGATGATATCTGTTAGGTGAGTCAGCCAACACTTCAAAGAGACGCAATGTCTCAGCAGGGCTAGATGAATGGTCCCATTTCAGCAGCCTAGGGACTGCGCAGTAAGGGACATTTAGGTGGTTCCATGGCCGGCCAGCCCGGGAAAATGGAACACACAAGTGGCAGGCAGTGCTCCCAGCTCCAGGGAAGTCCACTAATCAGGCTCTGACGTCTGTGCCCTTCCGTGGCCTGGATAAATTTTTATTCTTCCTAGTATTTTCCAGAAGTGTCCTTTCTTCATTCTTACGACCAACAGGCAATCCAAGCTCTCATCCCCTCCCTCTGCAAAGATCTCTGAACTCACCCTCCTACATATAAATTCCCCCCTCCCTAAATCATGCACACACTTAGAACATTTGTTACTTTATATGCACATCCACTCACTCCAAACCCCAAAACCAGTCAATGGCTTTGCCACTGCCTGCAAAATAAAAAAAATTTTTTTTTTAGTTGGAGTCTCACTCCGTCGCCCAGACTGGGGTGCAGTGGCCATTCCCGGCCACCGCAGCCTCGACCTGCCGGGCTCCGGTGATCCTTCCGCCTCACCCTTCCACGTCGGAACTACAGGTGCGCGCTACCACGCCCGGCTAATTTTTTTTTAATTTATTGTAGAGATGAGGTCTCGCCAGGTTGCCCAGGCAGGTCTCGAACCCGCGGGCTCAGGCAATTCCCTCACCTTGGCCTCCTAAAGTGCGGGATTACAGGTTGAGCCACCGAGCCCAGCCCAAAATAAAATTTTTTGCTTGGTTTTTTGTTTTGTTTTGTTTTGAGTTGGGAGTCTCATTCTGTCACCCAGGCTAGAGTGTAAGCGGCACAATCATGGCTCACCGCAGCCTCAAACTTCTGGTCTCTAGTGATCCTTCCTCTTCAGACTCCCAAGTAGCTAGGACTACAGGCATGCACCACCATGTCTGGCTTATTTATTTATTTATTTGTTTGTTTATTTTTCTTAAGCGACAAAGTCTCATTATGTTGCCCAGGCTGGTTTCGAACTCCTGGGCTCAAGGGATCCTCCTGCCTCAGCCTCCCAAAGTACTGGGATTACAGGCATAAGCCACCACAGCCAGCCAGCAAAATAAAATTATTCCCCTTGAATTGAAGGCCTATTATCATCTGTTCTCTATTCACCTCTCACTCCATCCTTGGACTCACACTCCCTAAACCAAACATACAAGTTTCATGTCCATGCTGTTCCTTTTAAGGAAAAGTCTTATTTTGCTCCTAGGCGGGGCAACACATGGTTGTGCAGATCACGCTAACTACAGGCTATATAAATGGCACTCCCCGCCGGTGTTGGGCAGTGTACAACCTCAGCAACCTTCCAATCATGGTGTGATTCCACACACACCCCCCCCAAGGCCTTCTCAGAACAACGGAACTCTGAGAGATCCATTGTGCCTCTGATTCCTCCATCACCAACTTGACACCAACCTTTCCTTACAACAAAAAGCTGTCGTATTTGGAGAAGCAGCAGTGCCTTGAACCTAGCATCTACTCAAAAGATGCTTGCAAATTTTGACAGGATTAGTCAAGAATGGCTGGTTGTGTTCAAACCCTCGAGAGCCTTGAAGGAAGCCTATTTAGTAGATGCCAAATATGGCCAAATAACCAGAATGATGTTTTGGAAAGGTTAATTCCAGCAACCACAGCGTGCAAGGTTTGAGCGACGGTACTTAAAGTGACAACGTTGGGACCCTCTCCGTAGAAGAAGGCCAGGGGGACTTCCCATGGAACCCAGAATATCCTAAAACACTCAGTTATCCTTCCGTGGATCTGTTTGGGATCGCAGATATTGGGTTTCATGTATCTACATTCATAGAATGGAGCTTAAAACTTAACTATTAAGCCAAGAAAAACGCGCTTTTGCCTGAAATATCTGGGTATCTAGGAAACAGCTCAGGCTTGAATAATTATACACATGCATAAAATGCATATACACAAATAAGCATTTCTCTTCTTCATCATTCTTGTGCAGTTTCTCTCTCTTCCATCTCTGGCTCTTACCTTTCTAGTTTCTGCTGTTTCTCGCCCTTCAATTATTATTCCTGTTTCTCCTTTCTATGCAAATGCTTTACCTTAACGATCTCCAGACTGTCCTCCCCCTCTCCCAAAACTCCTTCCCTTCCCCCCCCCAAAATTATATTTCAGATATCTCACTGTTTTTGCTGCACTAAATCACTCAGTTCTCCTGTTTCCTTTGCTAAGGCAGCTCGACTCTTCACTAGCCTTGGAATTCTGCAGTTATTAGTGAATCATTTCAAGGCCACTCATGGATAGCCCTCTTAAAGAAAAAAAAAAAATCAAGGGTACTTATGTATTTAGGTAAACAAATTAATGGCACTGTATTGTTGGAGTACCAAGTAAGTCATTCTTATCTGTAAATACAAAACAGTTAGAGCCTAATACACTAAACAAAATGAGTTTCCTAAGGAATTTCCTTTCCAACCAAGCCTGTATCTTGGATTTCAAGCCAAGAATGCATACCAGTAATAGACTCCGTGGTACTAGACAATTTTATTTACTTCTTAGATTTATATAAAAATCTTTACTCTCTATAGGAAGAACATGATGGAGAAGTAATCCAAAGCAGAATCAAGACACACAGCACCACCCGTGACATGCACATGTCTCCCAGGAAAAGATCACAGGGTGCAACCTTGAATTTAAAAGCAAATGGGGGGGGGATCTGAAAACAGTATTAAACAGACAAAATAAAATACAATTTGGATCTTGTATCCAAAGGCTGTCTCCCTGGAGTCTACTTATTCCTCCCACCAAATATGTTCACTTGTACTAAAAACAGCAAAGTGCTATCACCACTGAAAGGTACCAGGATCTTAGGAAAGACTGAAATATTTTCCATTTATCCCAGTAAAATGAAAAAAAAAAAACAAAACAAAACTCATTAACTACCAAACACTGTTTCTGGATTTAGTAGTTTAGATTTTTCTCCTCTCCCAAGATATTCCCCCCCCATAACGAAGACCTCTGAGAGTCAAAATGTGAATCTTCCGTACCAAACGGTGGACAAGGAGCTTTGCTAACTCTTCTCTGTCGGAAAGGGAGGGAGAAGAGGACACAGATCTCCATTGTTCAGAGCCCATCGTTAAATTAACCTCCTTCATAACATAACAATTCCATTGCAGCAACACGCTAGGCTGGAGGCACAGTGTATAGAATGTGCGAGCAGCCAACAGCAGACATTTCCACATGACCAAAATCCATCTTTCCAAGCACCACCGAAAACTGGCAAATAATTCAAGCTGCGCTTCGCTCCGGGTTTAATCGGGGAATACTCACAATAAAAGTTTGGAAAACTCGAATTAGCAGGTTGCCACTGGCTCAAGAGTAAACTCCAACGCTGGGAAGTTCGCCTCTCGCCACCCGCCCTGCCCCGTGCCCGGGGATTCCGTCCCCCAGGGGCGCGTCTAGAGCCGGGGCCGGACCCGGCCGGTGCCCGGGAAATCGGGGCGGCAGGGGGGACCCACCCGGCCCGGGGGGAGGCCGCGCCCGGGGCCTCGCTGAGCCCCGCACCCGGCCCGGCGCGGCCGCCCGGAGGCAGACGGAACGGAGACGGGACGGGACGGACGGACGGACGGACGGGACGGACAGACGCCACGGGCAGAGAAGTACTGCGCGTCCTACCCGGAGGGCTCCCTCCCAGGGCCGGCGGAGTACCTGCTCCGGTCATCCAGGCTGCGGTTGTCGGCGGCCGCGGCGCGCCAGTCGGGCAGCGTGCTGGCGCAGAGCACCACCATGGACACGATCACGAACACCACCGACACGCTGGCCAGGATCTGCGCGGCCAGCGACGACGTGGGCTCCTAGAAGGTGCGCCGCATGCGCTCCAGCCAGCGCCGGGAGGCGGCCGCCTCGGGCCCGCCGGGGCGCGCCTCGTAGCGGCCCCGCAAGCCCGGATCATCGGCCGCGTAGAAGGTGTAGGTGTCCGACATGCGGTCGTCGAGGCGGCGCTGGCAACAGTACTCCAGGTGCGCGCCCTCCAGGCCCCAGTAGATCATCTCGTTGTAGAAGGAGAGCTCGCACATCCGCGGCGCGAAGCGCAGCTTGCCGTGGCCGCGCACGTAGAGCAGGATGAAGCCGAAGGCCTCCGAGTGCCGGTCGAAGAAGTACTCGTTGCGCTCGCGGTCGTAGTCGTCGCACACCTCCAGCACGTCGCGCTCGGAGCGGCAGCCGTGCAGGCGGCTCACGCGGCGCAGCGGGAAGTCCTTCAGCAGCTCCCGGGACAGCGAGTACCGGGCGCCGCCCACGTTCAGCACCACCGAGGCC